AATAATAATAATAAATAGATAGATAGATCAATAAATAAATAAATAAATAAAAATGATTAAATAGATAAAGAAAGAAAGAAAGAAAGAAAGAAAGAAAGAAAGAAATTTTAATAAATAAAAACCCTGGTTGGCACTGGCAAGCAAGGTCGAAGCAGGCAGCCACATTAAATAATGTATACAGTGTGTTGGTAGGGATATCGGGCAAAGGGCACACCCACGAGGCTACCAAACAAAGCAACAGGTGGTTTGGTTATATCGCTACCTCTGAATTACAAAGTTCTATCTGCTCAGTAGCCTACCTCGTTTTGAGAAATTTGACGTCAAAGATGTTGAGTTTCACAATATGTCAAGCTTTTTCGAATGCAGTTCTTTGAATATCTTGCTAACGACTACAGATTAATAATCTTACAATTTTTACAGGGCAGGTAGAGCATTTGGTTTCTAATTTGGTCCCTTTAAAGGGCAAGCGGGTTCACCTAGATTTCGGGAGTTTCCAAAAATCCTGACCTACACCCAAAATGGGCATTGCCCTGTCTATAGGAAAAGTTTGGTTTCATTGGTATGTATATTTGTTTGGTTATAGAGAAAACTCTCCTTGTCTTTTAAATAAACTAAACACGGGGGGAAAACTTCACCTTCGATTTTCTCAAAGCAGCATTTTTCAGGACAGCCCGCTTGTGCTTAAAAGCGACCATTTTAAGGTCTCAGTAACTCAAAACAGCCAATTATGTCAGATTGACCTTTGTAATTCTGAGGTAGCGATATCGTAACAAAGTGTTTCTCATTTTCTGTCACACATGGGAGGGGGGGGATGGGGAGAAAATCTGGAGGTGGGGAAAGTAGGTTAGGGGAGGGGTCTTCTGTATCAAAGTTTAATGAGCGGTGAGAGGTCATAAAGCAGGGATGGGCCAAGCCGAGCAAAAGACAGGCTCAGTTGTTGGATTCCCAGTGATCACCTTCTGGTTCTTGTTATTGTTCAGGCTTTTGTTGTTGCTGTTCTCTTCTGTATTTAGCATGTCTAGCTATCTTTTTGTCTGTCTGTTAGTTCCACCCCCACCCCACCCCCGTCTCTGTCTTTGTCTCTGTCTCTGTCTCTGTCTCTGTCTGTCTCTCTCTCTCTCTCACTCTCTCTCTCTCTCTCTCTCTCTCTCTCTGTCTCTGTCTCTGTCTCTCTCTCTGTCTCTCTCTCTGTCTGTCTCTCTCTTTTCTTCTCTCTCTCCCTCCCTCCCCCCTCTCTCTCACTCTCTCTCTCTCTCTCTCTCT